TACTTTGTAACTGACGACCTATTTCATCTAAAAGAATGGGACCCATATACCATTGAAAGTATGGAAACTGAATAAAAAAATTTAATATGAATCTTATTAACATTTGAAGTAGATGGTTTTGCTTTTTTTAATACATATTTTTACTTTTTCACTGATATGATGTAAACTTTTCCCTAATCTGGACAGCTTTCATTTTAAGGTTGTCGAGAGTAGGCAGTAGTGAGTACCACTGTCTCATCAACTCATGTTTTTGCTTTTACCAATCTAATGGTTTGTTTGGTTGCCGAGAAAGGATGGAAGAGAAGAGAAGAGAAAATTTTATTTTCTCAATTTTGTCAACTGTGTTTGGTTGCTAAGACCACTACTAGACACGCCTTCTACATGCCCACTACCAGACCCACTTCTCTCCGTCTCCTCCTCCTTCCCTCTAACCACCCCAACTTCTTCTTTCTGCAACAAAGCAAAATGTACCCAGTTAGCCTTCTGGCTAGCGCATTTTAGCATAGAATGAAATCGTAGAGAGGGATTTGATTGATTTTGCTTGAGCAAATAAGGAAAGTTACCGGAATGATGGAAGAGAAAGGATGGAAAGGGAGGTTTGACCTGAAATTGAGATTAGAGTTTCGGATTGGCGACGAGAAGAGTGGGTCTGAAGAGATTACGTTTCCTCCTATCAATGACAGAACCTGGCAATCTCCTCCACCATACATTCTTGCTCCCAACCAGAACTTAACCAAGAAAAGATACTATCAGATGTTGTTATGTTCTTTGCATCACTTGATCGGAGCAGACCTGCGGTTCTCTTTTTGTCCAGAAATGAAACAAAACGGTTACATACTGAAGAACGCTACTGCTTTTAGAACACAAAAATCGAGCGGAAGAAGAAGATGACGTCTGAGAAGAAGAAGAAGAAGACGATGATGATGATGATGATGATGACGACGTCTGGAATTGCTCTGAAAGATCAAGCAGATCTTTAAACAATAGCAACCCAGCTAGACTGAGTAAACTGAAAAGAAGAAGAAGACGACGTCTGAGAAGAAGGTCGTCAGAGAATGGTGCCGGTGAGTAAATGGTTGGACGGCGTCTGAGAAGAAGATGATGCTCGTTTCCTTTCTCAGTGGGGTTGTACCTATTTGGTGAGACCCCGCATCCCAAAAATTAAGAAGTATATTCTTGTCGCTTCTCACCATTTCGTCCAAAACAAACTTGGGAAAATAAGAATCTTTGAAGAATATTCTTATTTTCCCAATCCAGTCGCACAAACCAAACAGACTATAAGGGTCCGTAAATCACAATGGAGACACACGATGTCTTCTCCACCGTCCAATAGGCTTAATTGGCAGGAAATGGGCAACAACTGCCATAGCCACCACTATCATCCACCCACAATCATGACTTACGAGATTACCATTTGACATTTTGATTAAGGCAGTCTAGATCAACACCGCATGCTTAATACTCATAACCACGTATTGCCCAAGTTTGGATCACCTACCAACAAAATACATTCCAATCCTTTACTAACATGATCTCACAATGTTTTAAAAAATACCTAAAACCAGAATCATTTTGGCTATGGGTTTTTGGGTCGATAGTTTGACTGTCCAGTTTGAATAGATGGTCTGTTCTAACAAAAAAAATTAAAATAAAAAATGGACAAAAACCGTTGAACGGATCAAACAGGTCGACAGTTCGATTGCACAGGTCAACGGGTCGTTGACCAATTCAACAGATTTTGGCCAAGGACCCGATTTGGGGTAAAATGAAACTGGTTGCCTGGATGGTTCTTGGGCCAAATAGTCCGACCATCCAGGTCAACGACGATTCAAAAACTATGACATCTCATACATGGAAGTTCCCACTTTTATGGTGGGTCCCAGTCTCATGGTTGAGACTGTGCGGTGTTAGATCAAGTTGGTAGAGGGTTAGAACATGTTTTGTTGACAAAAAATCTCAACTATCACCCAAAGATAAATGGGCATACAAATGATACTGCTCCAAAATCCCTTTCAATAGGCTTAGATACTTAAGCAATTAACCTCTTGTGTTTTACTTTCATCCCTATGTTGTGTTCTATTTGAAAGAAAAATGTAGGAAAAGGAAGAAAAAGACAAGGAAACCTATATCTAAGAATAAAATTCTCATGTGACTTTTAATTTAAGTAAACATTAGCTACAAATTATGCATAAGATATCATAGTCTACACTAGAAACATCTTCCCATGAATGACAACAAATGGTACAAGAGATGTTCTCCACGGGAAGCTAGAGTTTAGTGCATTACATTTTTTAGTCAATAGATCTAGATTCCTATCACTCGCATGTTTAAACATTTTTAAGACTCCAAATTTCCTTTATATTATTTTATGAGAGCGTTGATAAAATACTCAAATATAATAAAAAAAGAAAAAGAAAAGAAGGAAATTGCAAATTTTACATGAAATACAACAAAATAAAAAAGGAGAAAATAAAACAAAATACAGAAAAATGTCAACAAAGAAAAATAGAAAAGTACATAAGGAGAAAAATACAAAAGAAAACAAAACCTCAATGGACATTTTAATAATTTTATCTTTACCCTAAAACCCATTACTAGAGGGAAAGTAAAGTGTTAGAATCTCAAAAGTTCATTATCATAAATGAAAGTTTAGGGGCTAAATGTCACTACCCCCAAAATATAGACATAGTTTATAACTTAGGTTTCTTACCCAAAAAAAAAAAAAGTCTATAACTTAGGTTTCATGCTTTGGGTTGAAGTATATTAAAATCTGAAAAACAAAAAAGCTTTGAAATAAGGCAAAATCTATGGCATAAAAAATAAAAGTAGCACGACATAATTGGCATCTTTAATGTTGTTGAAGTCTTTAACAAGTACACCTTGTGAAACATGAACCAATGAAATAGACCATGTAAAGTTTTGAACGTGATCAACTGAAATCAAGATTTAATGTGTTGCAAATATTTATTTTTGCACTCTAACATGAATCCTAAAAGAAAGTACTGTGAAAATTTATGATCTCTGGTGGATCTGATATCTAAATGCAAAGAATGTTATTCTAAAATTAAATGTTAAATTCTGAAAATGGATAATATACAATTATGTCCCCACTATTGAATCTAAGAATGGATATTTATAAGACAAAATAATACTAAAATATTAATAAAAAACAACAGTATTAATCAAGCAAAATAATGAAATAGTAATAACATAATAATAAGAATTAATAAAATAATATTACTATTTTATATTGTTATGTTACTATTTTAATATTATTTTTGAATTTCCATAAATATTTTATTGTTATGTTATTATTTTATTAATATTTTATATTACAATCATCACCATCATTACTACAAGTGTTTTTGTTGTTGTATTTTATTTATAAAATATTAATAAAGTATAACAAGAATATGCTACTAATAATAAAGTATGAATAAATTGTACAAAGACATATTGGAAATAAAAATAAAAATGTTGTTAGATCTTATGTCTGATGTGAAGTGATAATAAGTCATAAAATTAGTTTGAAAATAACAACCTTTCAATTTTTGGTAAATAAGCAGAACTTTATTAAACCAAAAAAGAGTCATAAAAATACAATCAACAGAACAACCCCTAACAAGTAACAGCATCCAAATTTAAAACATTAGAAATTCAATCCAAAATCCAAATACGAGGATTATAAACTAATTCTGCACTTGCGGAGAAACCATGAACAGCCACGAGATGAGCTGCTTTGTTGCCTGCAAGAATAACTGAACTTTTAACTCTAAAACACGATTCACGACTGAACTGAAGAAAATAGTCTTTCGGTCAATCAAATGCTTGAGAGCCCTGAGATTGAAGACGATCCGATTGCACAACTATTTTTCTAACTCCCCTCCCCTTCGGTCTGTAACCGAAATATTGACCGGCTGAAGACAGACAAACAAAGAAAATCTACATTTGGCTGCAGATTCCATTCTCATCACTTTCTTTTGCTCATGGCTCCCCGTTCTCATTCCCCAGAGAAAGAGGGGAGCATTTTTTTAACTTTATATTGTTCACTGCTAAATGATTAAATGATTTCTCCCATCCACCCTATATATATATATATATATATGGGTTTTGGTTTTGATTTTCCAAATCAATTAAGACCCAAACCAAACCGATTGTTGAGTTAATAATATATAAAAGGTTTCCCAGTTTTTTTTTGTGATTTTTATTATATTCTGCCGAAAAGGATATATTTGATAGATAATATATTAAGATATTTTTTATTAAAAATATTTGATTTATTAACATATAAACTATTTACTATTTTATCAAGTTTTAAATTGTTATTAACATAGATAATTATAGCTGTCATTATAATTACTCTAATGGAATAAGACCCAACTATCCCAATCCGTTTAAGTTTTGCACCAGACTCAACCAATCCAGCATACTGCCCATTCATGCACCATGTGGGATTATGGCCAGCGGGTCTCACGGGCGCTGTGATCTGCCCCACCACCGATTCCGTAATGTGTGAACCAGGATTTCCTGTAAGCAAAAATTTTATGCACATCACATCCAGCTGTACATTGAAAATATATAGCCACCACCGATTGCCGCTGAATTCCCATGCTTTCAGTGTAGAGTTTTTGATTGCAGGAAATCCTATCCCGTATTGTCAAATTGTCAATACCCAAAAAAAGGAAAGATCTATCTAGCAATATCTATACAAAAAAAAAAAGAAATTTATTCAGCATAGATTATCTATGTTTATCAAGCCAATATGTATCACTCTATTCTGTTATGAAAATAGCATCAATGTGGCTCAGTTTGGAAGGAAGTATAAATACAAATATGTACAATACAAATATATACAAAATAATACAAAATACAAGGCTTTGCGCTCTATACATTTGTATTTGTACTCCTTCCAAATAGAGCCTTAGTAAATATATTGGTTACCCAACCCGAAATTTATTAAAAAAAAACTGCCGCAACTAACAAAATATCACAAGAGAAAATGAATAGGAAAACATCAYATGTGAAAAATCATGATTCTGCTTAAAAAGAAGAAGAAAAAGAAACAAATAACTGCATGCCCCTTCAGTTCCACCAAGCTTTCATGCATTGAATCTGTACAACGATAATTGCTAATGCTGCTTTTAACTATATCATATATCAATTACTTTAAGCTCAATATTTGTCACAATCCGAGAGCCCATGAAAAGAAAAAAAGGACAATGCAAACCCCCTATGAAGCAATTGCATGATCCTCTCTTTACCCATATCCATATCATAGTCAATAGGTTCACCATCTCTTCAGTGTAAGACCTGCAGTTCTTGAGCATCCAACTGCTCCCTGATCAACGGAATTGCTCAACACGTAAGACCCACTTTTCTTCAACTTTTCTGGGATCTCCTTGCTTGAACTGCCCTTCATGGAGAGGTGCTTCTTTAGGCGGCTCCGGTTCAGCAGCAACATAGCATTGCGAGGGGGTCCATGCAGTGCACCCTCAACACAATCCCCTACCTGTCCACAGCCCCAAGATCTTGATGGGCCATCCTCACAAAAGGGCCTGAGCCTTGGAAGCCCATTCTTTAGCCTGGAAACCAACCGCTGCTCGGGTACATTCTCCTCTAATCTTGCACAAAGTGGGCAAGGAGGGTCATGTTTCTGTGTCTTCGGGGTTGTCTGCTCCAAGCACTCAGCATGAAAAACATGACGGCATGAAAGAACTCCAGCAACCGGCATGTCCCCACTTCTGACAATCCTGCGAGAACTCCAAGGTGATCTCTGAGACAGGAACCTGTCGCACAATCCGCATTTGAATCCTTCCTGTGGATTGCATGAAGGTGCAAAACATTCAGAATCCAACTGCTCAGAAGCATCAGTGAAATCAATGCTGCTGCTAGCACTGCTCCATTGAAGTGCTTCTCTTTGGGGAGTAGTAGCACCAAATTCAGGAAAGCCAGAAGCAGAATGAAGCTCTGCAAGATTTTGAGCATATTTCAGATCAGAATGATGAGACATGCTGTTCTCATGGACAGTTGGCTGATTAACACAGTTTCCAGGGGCAATGGCTCCATCAGCTTCCCTACCCAGAGTTAAGGTCGGAAAAGATAGAGGGTGAACAGGCTTGGACATGAAAGAGTAGCGACGATGTGAAGAAGCATGTGTCTTGGTAATGGGCTCATATTCACTACCATCTGAACGGGATGAAGTGGATCCTGCACTGTACGGGATAGCTGAAGATCCCTGCGAAGTAAAAACCCCCGAAGGAGTTTAGGTTTTTAACACACTATTAAGAAAAATGAACATTGAATGCAACAATGAGTACCTCCATTAACGGTGTAAAAGTTAAGGGCCCTGATGTTGGCTCTGGAAGAAGAAAAAGAACAATTTATCAGTAACAACAGGAGTAATACAGCATTGTTGGAACCATAAATAAGAAGAAATACACAACAGACAATACCAAGAGAAATGGTAGAAAATTTCTTGGCACATACATGATATGCGCATTCATCATCCCAACTGTATGGGTTGACTACATGAATCCTATTTCATTAGTCTATCCTGGTAACACCATTTCCATTGTTAAATTATTGGCACTTAAAATATTTCTTACTATTCTATCCATGTCCTTTTCAGTCTACCCCTTGCCCTTCTAGCCCCTTCAAATTGCAACAAATCACTTCTTGCATGTGCTGTTGATGGTCTTCTATGCACATGACCAAACCATCATAGTCTACCTACCTTCTCTCATTTTATCACCTATTGGAGAAGTTCCTATGAATGACTTCATTTCTAATCCTATCTTCTCTAGCTTTTCCACTCATCCATCACAGCATACATTTCTGCCACATTCATTCTAGACATGTTTCTTGATTGCCAACACTCTAATACATACAACATAGCTAGCCTTACAACTGTTTTATATAATTTTCCTTTTTAATCTATGTGGTATTCGCCTATCAAATAATACTCTAGATGCGCCCCTCCATTTTGATCATCCTGCTCTAATATTATGGGTGACATCCACCTCAATCTCTCCCTTATATGAATTATCAAACCAAGGTACTGAAAAAGGCCATATTGAGTTATCTCTTGGTCTCCGATCCTAAGTGTACCCTGATTTGCACTTCCATTTTCATTAAATTCACATGTCATATATTCTGTTTTAGTCCTACCTACTTTAAAGCATCTTGCTTCTGAAGGCATTTGCACATAAACTTAATTTCGCATTTAATCCTTTACTAGTTTCATCAATTAAAACAATGTCAGAAAACAACTTAGGGCTTCCTCATGTATATGTTTAGTCATGTCATCCATGATTATTTTATATAAATCAGTGTTTTAAAAGCACAAGGGCCATTTTGCACCTGAGGCACAAGGTGCAAGGCAAGGCACGTGCCTTTTATGAAACAAGGTGCAAAAATACAAAAAATGCTAAAATTTTCAAAACATCAAAAAAAGCCAAAATGCAAAATATTAAAAATATTAAACACAATATTAACTAAAAATATAAACTTAAACTTTAAACTATATGTAACAAAACTATTACCTCAAACTAAAAAACACAAATATAACATCTAAAACATATTTAAAATGAAAATTTAAAAATAAAATCAAGCATAACATAAAAAACATATTCAAGCAAGTAAACTATTGATCCCTTTATTTTTTCCCAATTGCATTACTTCAAATAGCTAATGTAATGTTAAACATTATTGCATTCCTGATTCTACAAGCCGTCTTTGTACCAAGCCCCTCAAGGCAAGCCCAAACAAGTCCATATCAGGGTCCTATTTCTTAATCCCTATAAAAAAGGTTTTATAACTTTAAGTGTCTTTTAAAATTATCTTTTATTAGGATGAATGAATGAGCAACATTAGCAATTATGGGCTAAAGCACAAGGCGCACCAAGCACACACCTTTTGAATGTGTTGCACCTAGGACCTAGGCAAGGCACATACCCTAGCGCCTAGGTGCGCTTTTTAAATCACTGATATAAATAAAGGCCAAGTGTTTGAACCATGGTTAAGACCCATCAAAACTACGAAATCTGATGTCTCTCCCACAAGTGTTCAAATATTGGTCGTTGCATCGTCATACATATCCTTAATTAAGCCTATATACCAATTTTGAACCCCTTTTCTTTTACAAGACCCACCATATTATCTGCTAGAAACTCTATCATATGCTTTGTCTAGATTAATAAAAACCATATGGAGATCTCTCTTTTCCACTCTAAACTTTTCTACCAATTGTCTCAAAAGAAAGACAGCTTCCATGGTTGATCTCCTTGGCATTATCCCAAATTGGGTTCTTTACATGTTTCATGTCATACACTTTTCTCAATTATTCTCTTCCAAAGTTTCATTGTGTGGTCATGAGCTTTAAAAGCATAAGGTAAAAAAATTACAAAGGGCATTTTGTGCCCGAGCTACAAGGTGCAAGGAGAGGAACATGCCTTTATGCAAGGCGCAAAAATGCAAAACAAGGCAAAAAAATGCATTCAAGCATGCAAAACTCTCAATCTTAATTCAAATAGCTAATGCTTAATCCCCCTAATATAGTGCTTTAAAAGCACAAGGCAAAAAAAAATGCAAGGGGCATTTTGTACCTAAGAAACATGCAAGGCAAGGCACGTGTCTTTTTTAAGCAAGTCACAAAATTGCAAAAATGTCAAAAAAATCAGAAAATATACAAAAACCTATTATCTCAATTTAAAATAAATGTTTTAAAAAAACCTATTATCTCAATTTAAAAAGACGCATAACATGTAAAACATATTGAAAATGATGCAAAACATGTTCAACTCCCTAACCGTAGTTTCATGTACTATTGTTGATTCAAACCAGAGCTTCATAAATCAGTCATAGGTGCTCCCTCCAGGCTCCAACCAAGTTTTGAGATCGTATATGAGAGGAGGGGGGTTGGTTTGGTCCTTGCTGTGTGATCAGGGGAGGATAGAGGTGGAAGCAAAAGTAAAGGAGAGAGGGGACAAGAAGGGGTAGGGTACTACGAGAGAGAGAGAGATTTTAGAAAGAAAAAAGTCTTCCATCAGTCTCAATTAAGGGATTTGTGCACGGGACCTTAGCTTAATGTTCAAAGCTGTAATGGAGTTGTATTATTGGTTCCACAGCCCACACTACAGCCTTTGCTATTCAGCTAATCCAGCTTCGCATCTGTGTTCGCTTATCAATTAGTTCACAAAAGAACAATAAATGGGACAAAACCCTTGCCAACATTGTCTCAACTGCAGTTGATGTTTTAATCTTTCCCCTCTTCCATACCTCCAAACCATAATCAAAATAAAGAGGTCTACATGACCAAAACAGACTATGCAATCACTTAAAAACTTGGTATTTGACAAGGTTCAAACTTCAAAGTATCAATACAATACAGGGCGTATCAAGCATATCATATCGAATTTCAAGGTCACCAATACACTAAAATCCTGGGAGTTAGGGCATCTGGCCATTTTTGCATATCAATACCTTGAACATTAGTATTGATCATCATCTAGCCACTCGTAAGCAATCACCTAACCTCAGCACCTCCTAACTTCACACTTAACTGGTTGTCTAATCAAGCACTAGAGTTTTTAATAGGTTAGCCAGTCATCTAATCAATAACTATTCCATGCCCTACGGTCCACTACTATTAAGAAAGTTCCCTTTGATCATTAAAATGCCAACTCAACAAAGCCTTATCATAACAGTTTAAAATCAACTACAAGAATTCAGTTTTTCCAATCCACTTATCCTATGGAAATTGTGAACACTTTGATATTTCTTTTGGTACTCCAACCAATATTCTTCTTTGCCTCCCTTGTTTCATTTAGGATAAAATATATATTTGATTTCACCATTACACAAAACAGTTAAGGTGAAGACATAAAATGCACCTCAACTAACAGTCATTAATTTATATCAAATGGGCATAAAAGTCACTAAATTTTACTTATCTTTACATAGGAGAATGATTCAGGACTTAAAAATCTCTAAAGTGATATACCTATGAAACTAATTAGGAAATTTCCTAAGAGGTCAAAACCCAACAACTTGGAATAGAAAAGTGCCCACCAACCAAGCCTTAAAGGCTTCTAATATTGAAGCTTCCTCCTAGAGCCACTCATCAATGCTCACTGAGCCAAAGAAAAGGCAGCAAAGCTTCTTTATATCCAATAAATGAAGGTGGTAGTTAGCACATTCACCATATTCTAAGCACATGATGTGAGAGTGGGAAAAACCAGTAGAGGTAATGGATTCTAAAAAATAAAATAAAATAATTAGTGGATAAAAGGCCAGAATAGGTAGAAGACTAAATTTGAGCATCTAATCCTAACAGGGAAGTGCAGACCTTTTGAAAGCATCAAAGAGACTTAATTTCTTCAGTCTCTGCAATTAGAAGGGACCAATCTAGGTTAAAGTTGATGAAACATGAAAGAGAAAATAACCTCTTTGGTTCACATGCTTATGAGTCCCAAATATCCAAGCATGGTAATTTAGATCTGGGGTCTCTGGTATAAGGGGATCTTGGATTGAATAAAGATGGATGAATCCAAAAGTTTGAAAAGAGGGAGCTATCCAAATGATAAGACAAGGGGTAGAGCATAACACATAGCTTTTCTCAAGGGCTTCGAATGCAAAGTGGCCATTGATAGAACATAGAAAACCAGTGGTTGAAGAGATTTTTTTTTCTCAACAAACATGAATAGAATAAAAAATGCATTAATTTGTGTAATTGCACTCATGCTTTTATATCTCCACCAGTCCATCCATAATGGAATGTGAAAACAAAATTAACTTTACAGCAACACAATTTCTTAATTATTAGAATTTGAAGTTGTAACAAAACCATATAGCAGATGTTAAGCAGTTCACATATGAAGCCAGACATTATTGAGCAATGAACAGAAAGATTGGGTTCAAACTTTAGATACAAGTTAATATCGGAAGAAATGAATCATTACTTTGTCATACCTCTCAGTGTCACAGTTACATAATCATCAGCACTGGCTCTTTGCACTGGCGGTGGTGTCCACTGTTGGGTCTGAAAACTATCTGATGGACTACTAAAATAAGATCCAAAACCATCAGATGCAGAATAATGATGATGAGAGAATTGGTCACTTCTCATCCACACTCTGCTTTCTTTACTGTTTGATGAGATAGAAGACCCATAGAGCTGAATAGCATTATTTGATCCATATGGAAGACCTTCAGATTGGAACCTGTGATCCCATCTTCTGGATAAGGGTGGTGAAAAACTTGTATTAGTTTGCCAATACGGTTCATTGGGACCAATGGACCATTCTCCACTGGCTGCATTGGATCCATGTGGCCTTGCAGCCACACAACAAAGCGACCCCGTCTTAGCTATGTTTTGTGAAGCTTGTTTTTATGCTTCTAAAAGTTGATGACAACCAACTTAGAGCACAATAATAATCATTCATGTGCAATATTTTAGTAACATGTCAATTGAGGCAGCCTCAACACCAGCTCAGGCCTCTAAATACTGATCCAAAACCACCATGTACTAGAGATTCAGAAGTCAATGATAATGTTAAGAAAATGCTTTGGGATGAGAAGCACCATAGGATAACTTACTCATGGTTTAAGAAAATTTTATTTCAGATAGAACAACTCTTCATCAGGCATACACTTACACCAGGTCTCATTGATAGAATCTATTTCCCCAAATGTTACCAACGAATTTTAAATTTCAACAACAAACTCAATCTCTACTGGATGTTCAAGCTTCTTGAAGAGCCTGTTAGTTGCATAAAGCCATAAAGTAGAACCTGGCAACAAACAGCATTAATAAATTAGTAGTTATCATGGCCATTTGAAACCAAGACAAATGTGAAAACCTCTCTGTCCCCATGGCTTTTAAACATCCCCCAGAAATTCAAACAATGCATCCTATGTTACCCAAATACAGAAAGGACATGACTGGACAAAAACTAGTTAGGCCCTGCACCCACTCAAATGATTAATCAAATTTGGAAAGCATTAACCCAACAAGTGGTCCCTCCATGGTGGTTTAGAACCACAAAAGCAGCTTTTACTTCTTAAAATTTTAAATGACAAAATGACAGTTCAATATAACAGCTACATATGAGGAGGCAAGAGAAACTAAATCAAATGATAAATCCAGTTTGCATAGCATTAACCCAATGAATGGTCCCTCCATGGTGGTTTGGAACCACAAAACCCGCTTTTACTTCTTAAAATTTTAAATGACAAAAGGGCAGTTTAATATAACAGCTAGGCTTAGAAGAGAATATGAGGAGGCAAGAGAAACTAAATCAATCTATTTGACAAAAAGGTAGTTCACTTCAACCAACAGTAAGGTCCAAGGAAAGGAGCACCACCGTTCATTCCTTTTTGTGTGGGGCATAGATATGGATTCATGTTCATTGACACAGGTATTGCAGCAAAATCAGGACTAGCCAAAAGGGCACTTGGTAGGACAAGATAGCATTTGCAGGAAAAAATCACTCAAATTAGAAAACCATCCACTGCAACTTAATGGATGAAATACAGCATCTTGGTTATTCACAAATGATCTAATATCAGTATAAGGAAACACCATACACTAAATTACTAATAGCTATACAACTAAGAGATGAACGCACAAAATAAAACTAGAATCACCATAAGAACACCATAGCATTTGCAGAAAAAAATCACTCAAACTCGAAAACATCCACCGCAACTTAATGGATGAAATACAGCATCTTGGTTATTCACAAAATGATCTAATATCAGTATAAGGAAACACCATACACTGAATTACTAATAGCTATACAACTAAGAGATGAACGCACAAAATAAAACTAGAATCACCATAAGAATACCATATTCTAGAATCCCCAATAGAATTTAAACTATAAAGTTGAAGGATTTAAATGGGTTGTCTGTCTGCCTAATATAGTCTCATGATACTCAAATGAACAACAAAATGAAGTCTTTTCAAGTAAATCTGCACAAACAACAACAATAAAAGGAAGCCATTATTTTACTGCCAAGGCTCAATCCCATAACAACCCTTGCAACCCGAAGCCCTAATAGATGCGCCAGGGAATGACAATGAAACAGGATAAACCATTGAAGACTGAGCCCGATAATAACAACAATAAGACCTAAAAAGTCGCGACAAAAACCTACCGGACTGAATACAACTTTGTTATGTGGAAGCAATTTAAAACCCAAACATCAATCAGGTGAAACTTGTAACTGGAAATAGAGAATTTACTGAAACACAAGTTCGAAAGGGATAACACCCAGCTCCGTATAAATATTTGACTTAAAAACATGATTTAAAGGGAACTAAAATAAATAGAATGAGAGAGAGAGCTTACAGTTACATTACCGGAAGAAGGCAGCGGAAATTGGAATGCAGATGGGGAAAACGATAACAAACCCTAAATTGAGGAAGGAAGGAGAGAGAAAAGAGGGAAGAAGAAATTAAAGAAGTGATTTAGTTCTACCTATCAACAATCAACTAATATTGGTAGCTTTATGATAAGCAGAAAGTGTCCCCTAAAAACTACCCCCGGGTTTGCTGAAAATGTCGTTTCTGTCCTAAGGAACTGTTGTGGTTGTGACTCGTGAGTCTTGTGACGTGTGTTGGTCAAACCCGGATAGAACCGGGCGGTTGGGACCGAGAACAGCAGCCAAAACGGATCTTTGGGATGCATGGTTCTTACTTCTTAGAAATATTAACTTTGATTAAATTTCGCTAAATACATGCCCTAATGGGCGCCTTTACCAAAAAATCGCTGTCCAAGTTTCACGGCTGTCTAAGGCTCGTTTGGATGCCAAAAGTTTTCTGTTATAATTTATGGTGTATAGTGTAGCAAATTTATTCCATTGTAAGATAACTTAGAATTATGTACTTTTTATTTTTTTATTTTTAACATTTATTATTTATTAGTGCGAGTCAACCGATCATACCAAAATGTTGGATCCAGTAGCCAAATACATGGGGCTGCTATTGGGCCAGGTTAGGTTAGCCCAACCAACCTGAAAAAGTTGGGTTGAATAGAATCCGGTTGAAGGTTAGGATTAGGGTTGATGTGATGACCCAAACCCTATTTAGGCCATGTTTGGGAGTACTTATTTGGACAGGGACCACACCATTAAGCATTTATTGGTGTTTGGGAAATAAGCCTGAAATAAGTGCTTATTTTAAAAATAATGGCTTATTTTTTTAGCCCAAATTCCTAACTTTTTTAAGTGCTCATACAATAAGCACTTATTCAATTTTTTTCTTCCATAATTGTCCCCGGTGAATTTTTAGAATACCAATTATACCCTTTTACAAAGACAATTTTACAAAGGCACTTTTATAAAAGTAATTTTCTGAAAACTATTTTTACGAAATTAAATATTTTTACAAAAGTACTTTTTGAAAGTACTTTTATGAAAGCACTTTTATAAAAATACTTTTATAAAAACACTTTTATAAAAGTACTTTTACATGAAAGCCACTTTATAAAAGTATTTTTATAAAAGTACTTTTGCATGAAAGCCACTTTATAAAAGTACTTTTACAAAAGCACTTTTATAAAAATACTTTTACAAAAGAACTTATAAAAGTACTTTTACATGAAAGAACTTTTGTAAAAGCACTTTTATGAAAGTATATTTACGAATGCACTTTTACAAAAGTACTTTTATGAAAGTGCTTTTATGAAAATACTTTTACAGAAGTATTTTTATAAAAGCACTTTTACAAAAATGCTTTTATAAAAGCATTTTTACGGAAACGCTTTTATAAAAGCATTTTTATAAAAGTATTTTACGGGATCACTTTTATCAAAGTACTTTTATAAAAGTACTTTTGTAAAAGTACTACTATAAAAGCACTTTTATCAAAATACTTTTATTCATTCACTTTGGATCAGATATTTTGAAAATTTGAAAGAAAATAAAGGACGAAAGAGTCACAATTGCTTATTTAAGTGCTTATTGGAGAAAAAGACCACCAAAACACCCGATATAAAAGAAGTGTTTATTTTTTAAAATAAGCACTTAAAAAAATTGTGTGCCAAATGCAAATAAGTGCTTATTCGAATAAACACTTATTTTTAACATAAGCACTCCTAAACATGGCCTTAGTTTCATATTTGTATGTATTAAATATTATATAAATATTTTTTAAGAATAACGAGTTTCTTTTTTATTGTTATATTAAATCATTGTAAAGTTTATCTTGAATAAATTCAGGAGGGAGCGACCACAATGATGAATAATCTCGCAGAACAACACCAATTACTGCCAACTTGCCAAGTTGTGCTTCTCTTAAGTAGTTATTACTCCCACCTTTCCTTGTTTGTCCCTTCTTTCAGGAGTGGGATTCTGACTATTGTGATTTGTGGATGGATAACCCATTTCAAGCTACAGCTAGAGTGGAATTTATCAAAAGCTATGCATTCCCCTTGTACCACCAAAAAGAATGGGCATCTTCTCCACTAACTCCCCTAGTCCCAAGTGACAACCAAAGCCAAATCGTTGGGATTTGGCTCCAGAATCCAGATCCCTTGAGTCTATGAAAATATGCTTCATTAATGTTTCTGTAAAGCCCTGAAGTTGTAACTAAGCTCACCAGTGATAGGTCCACAGTTATATGAGACAGGCAGACAATCTTACGGTAAACCATAAATGCGGCAGAATTCTAGGACACTCAAGCTCCTTATGGTGGATGGGTCTTAACTCTCTTTAAGTATCTGACTCATTTTCCAATCCTCTTCTCTGACATGGACAGTTCACCAGGTTAACACGGACCCTTGATATTTTAGTCAAATGAATGGTTCAACCATCCATTACTGAAAATTAAAGAATGGGATACAATAAAGAAGCTAAAAAGATGACGTTGTACCTGACTACCAAATTCTCACTCACAGGCTTTTGGCTTCATGAATTCATGATATTATTAATATATTAGTTTGCTATATATCTGACGAAAAATAAAAGAACTATTATCGAATATTTACTCTGTACGTGTAGGCAGTGAGTCATGTCCAGCTCTAAAGTAATAAATCCATTAAGGAAGAAACAAGGAGGAAACGTGGAGGCATCAATAAACAAAAAAAAAAAAAAAGAAATGGATGAATAGATTATAGAAACGTTTGATTGTTGAGACGTCAACCAAAGTTTTTTAAGTAATAATATTAGTGGAAGGGGGGGCATTAATGCATTATCAAAAATATTCTAAAATTAAAGTAATCAGGAGAATAAAAACCATAAACAAATGAAAATATAGCAATCCGGCTTCAATACAATAAATTTAACAAATACTTCCATTAATATGATGGTGATATTCCCGTTGACTATGATCATATCATCAGAGCAGTAAACTTTCCACACACAAATAAAAAAAAAGATTTTAGGAAGCTCTTCCATACGAAAGTATCACGGGAATGATATATTACCTTTGTCGCCCTTTGGTCAACCTTCTACCCCTACAACTGCAATCTCTCTCTTATTTCGTAATTACTCTTACCATATATAAAAATCACACTACCGATTAGTGGTTAAAATCAAAGGAGCTGAAATTACCATTACAACATCTTGATAAAGTAACATTGATTTTAAATGTCTTTTTTTTTGCAAGTATTTATAATATTTATATTTATCTTGTACGGTATAGCAACATAACTTAATTTTCTGCCAGTACAAGTTGCAAAAGTTGACACAAATAACGAATTTACGGCCAAGATTGCAACAATTCTATTTTTTTAGTTAATAATACAGTCTGCTATTTATATTGATAATAGCATTAAATAAAAGAGAACAATATTACCATATAGCCAGTTCACAAGTAGCATCAACATGCCAAATTACCAACCGACTACCTCCCTCCATCCCCCCCACCCTCAGTAGTCAGTACATGCATAAATACCATGGTTTTTAAAACCGACCTGGCGACCAAACCAATCAGGAGTCCGATTACCTGGTCAAGTGGTCCAAACGATCAGCCCATTCTGACAAAAAATAAAATAAAAAATAAAAAAAAAAAATTGAAATTTGGTCAAAACTGTTCAAATGGTTAACCAGCCTGTTCAGCAGTTTGCTGACCAAAATCAACGGTTTTGGGAAAAAACAGAACCGGTCAAGTGAACGATTCCCAGTTTTCCAGTCCAATCCGATTTTGAAAACCATGATAAATGCAAAGATAAAACAAAAAAAAAATTGTAATTCTCATGGAACAAGTAAATATTTAATAGCAAATGCAACCGTAACACTGAATATTTGAAGGATCCCTACCGACATGACGGTGCACCAAAAATGGTAAATTTCCTTAAGCAACCACATTGCAAGTTGCGATGTAATAGGCAATACACTTGACATTTTTTGCCTCGCAAGGACCAAGCCCCAGACCCCCAGCACCAACAGAGAACCAAGGACCAAACCCAATTAAGGTACAAAACCATTTTGTGGCATTCCCAAAACGCTATATAGGTCACAATAATTCTAGAAACGGAATAACTCACTGGCCATAAAATGGAGGCTGGCCTGCTGGACGCACACTTGGTTGGAGACCATATTGTGGCGGTCTGTGAGTGGCCATTCCAGCAGGAGATTGATCTACATGCTGAACTGGCATTGTTCCTGGAACAGCTCCTGCCATAGAATACGTAGGAACAGCGGGTGGTGGATATGTTTGACCTGGAAATGTCGTTGGAACTGAGACAAATGTTGGCCTCCCTGATGCCTGCATGCTTGGATCCCAGGATCCTCCTACCTGTCCATCAGGAAGCTGTGCGGGCATGTTGCCAGGATAAACTGATGTAGCCTGAGGAGTTTGCCAACCACCTGCACTAGACACAGCAGCAGCCTGTTGCAACGGGAGTATACCAGATTCAGGGATTGTGTAATCCCTGCTCCTATCATTGTGAGCCTACAAGGGTATATACATATAAACAGTCTATCAAACTCCAGAAAACATGCATAAAAAGAGTACGGGCAAATGTTAATAACAAGCGTCAAGAAGCATACATTGCTCGATCAACTCTTTTTGGTTTTTCCGAACAATAATGGACCCACTGTTTTTCTCTAAAGCCGTAAAACCTTTCCCTCCTACTTATGGTCATAGATATAGGGGCTGTTTAGTTCCGTTGCCATTTATTTAAAAAAACATTTTGCACGGCATTCATCTAAAAAGGTTGAATAACTTTTTTGATGTTTTTTAACAGTTAGGTGCCATTAGACGCCATTAGTCACCACATAAGCTGAATAGTGAAAAAACACCCTAGTGTTAAGGAAAACACCAAAAAGAAGCTTCCCCAACAGATGGCTCTCACACAAACCAAGACAAAACATTTCTTTAATAAACGGTTTAACAAAACAACATTTCAAGCTTCATTGGGGAAAATACCTATATGGCACTGAGCTGGCATCGTTTTTTCAGATAAACGGCAATAGAACCAAACACCATCATAATAATTTAAAACTCTTATCTATACCTTTACATTGAGATCAGTATGACGAGAGTATGACAGATGAAGCTTACAATAGCCACCATCATAGATGCAGTGTCCCTCGAGGGCTTCTTTGGCAACAGCTGCAGTTGTCACATCTGACAGGATAAAAGTAATAAAATATGAGACAATGACTGACAGGGAAAAAAATACCACATAAAGCAGCGCACAGGATTTTTTCTTTTTCATTTTTGACAGTACAGTACAATATGAATCCAAAGTTCATAAAGGCAACAAAATAAATTCCACACAAAGAAAGCAACGAGGCAAGTTTCACCTTTTCTTCTGATAAAGAATTGCTATCAAAGAGATTTATTGATTTAGTGAAAAGGATATACATACAACCTTCCTGGCCTGAAGATCAAAAGAGGGACTAACATAGAATAGAGAGAGGCACAATCAAAGCATAAAAGGATATATACATCATCTTTGAAAAAGTTGTACAGTGTACAGATCATGAGAAGTTAGCAACTCGAAAACAAAGCACAATGAAAGGATAAAAGAAAGAAGTTACTAAACAAATTTTGATGAAGAAAGCATAATCACTCTTTAGAAATTCCTTCAGGCTGCACCTGTATCAAAGTGAGGAGAAAACTGAAATGCTTCTAGGGCCCGAAATGGACCCCAGACCCCCTAGTAGAGATGAATATGGATGTTGTAGTGAAGTGATAAATCAATTGAACCTGGCATGATAGATAATGGAATTGTCTGATTTCAAGCATCTTAAATATCACATACAGGAATCCTCGATTGAATGAAGTAACAGCAACAGAAAATTAGTGCTCTGTGAAACAAATATGCATACACCACATCATAAACTAACACTTTTGCAACTACTTTATGTAACCCAATTTGCACTATTAGCCAATAAAATTTGAACATCACAACCAAATTCATGATGGACCCAAGGGAAGATACAATTTCCAACCATCGGCAGCAGTCAGCAGTCAAATACAATAAAAAAAACAAGACATGAAACAGAGACAAATGAGTTACAATAAATTTAAAAATAATCCTACCAGGGTATTGGATTAGTGCCTGCATTCCACCATTCTTCTCAAAAATGGCAATTTTCTGGACAGTTCCAAATGCTGAAAATACCTGCAAAGAGTGCAACTCATATCATTTTAAGGATGTAGATGAACAAGCAAACAGGAAACTGCAAAAAGAAACCATGAAAGGAAATACTTACTGTGTGAAGAACATCTACTGTGACAGCATATTGCATATTCTCAATTGAAGCTAGAAGCACATTACTCTCTAGTTCTTTTTTCTTCCCATCAGGACCTATAGTAGACTGAATATAGAGAATTGTTAGTACACATTAATGACAGCAAAATACAATTGATGCCTGAACATAAGAAACCTACTTGCATGGTTCCTTCAATGGCAGAAGGATTCACGGGAAGGTAAGGATTTGTGTAATCCCTGATACATAAAGCACACAGGATCCAATCATTCCATGACATGTATTATACATTATACAAGCATCATGCCATAATTCCATATAAACATCATGTTCAACCAAACAAAAAGCAGTCGCAAATAATTAGGGGAAATTGAAGAAATTAAAAGCACCACATAAATGCATGGCCATATATAAATGCCACTAAAGATACCCATTTGGCCCATTTTGTTGCTAGTTCATTGTTCCTAGTTATATATTCATAAAAAGAAGGTAGGAACTCCTATAATGGTGTCTGGTTGGACAAGGACCAGAAAACATCACAATAATGTTTCTTGGGTTCTTGTGCCTCAGGTTAAGTTTATGATATGACTTACCTCAGCAGCAAAAAGATCATTTAAGTGAAAGCAGACAAATTATAGAATGTGAAAGGTCAAACACCAAACCATGACCACCAAGAATGTTGTCCACACGTCAACTCAAATTACCACTTGGTTTTTCCAAACAGACTAGCAGGAAAGGCTATGCATTTTTAAAGGTGGATAGGCTTGAGAAAAAAAACGCAAAATGAAAAATAAACAATCCAATATAATAGGAAAGATTTTTGGAATGAAAGAAAATAGGAGAATAAATAGGAGGGAAATTTTAAGAAAAAAAATGGTTTTGGAGAGGATGAGAAAAGGTTGTAGGAATTTCAAGAACTTGAAAAGTTGAGAGAGGCAGACTCTAGTGATTAGTCATGTGTTCAAAAACCAGATAAAAGAGAAAAACATGAAAAAAGGAGAAAGATCGCAATCCTTGTTTAATGTGTAAAATTGAAAGATCACAATCCTTCTTTATGTGTATCTGTATGTACCACATCAGCCCATTTCCATAATAAGTCATTTGTAGAGACAACTCTGAAGAGTTCCATTGTTTTTTCCCAATGTGCAGATCTAACTTTTATGGTTTCAATCACTTCCTCCTTTGACTTACTCTTCTCATTGAAAATCCTTTGGTTTCTTTCTTCCCAAATACTCCATACCGAGGCTGTTCTTGTTATCCTCCATAAGCATCTCCTCTTTTTTCTGTTGCCTCAAGAATTGGAGTTACACAAACTAACCACATCCTAGGGGCCTGGGGGAACCCATCTGCAACCAAAGAGAGAACAGAAATATTTCCAAATGCAAGTCACAAAAGAGAAGGGGATTACTAAATGAGAAAGGGTCTCACCACTAGCCTTACAAAGGAAACACAAGGAGAAAGGCAATTGCTTGGCCTTCTTTTCTAATAGCACGTCACAAGTGTTGATCTTTGCAAGGAACATTTCCTAACAAAGAGTCCCAAATTTAGGAGGGATTGGTTTGCACCAGATTTCTCTCACCAAGAAATTCACCCCCACGGGTTTTGAGCGGACAAGAAGGTTAAAGAAGGATGCACAAGAGAATAGGCCATCAAGTGAGGGGTACCAAACCCAACCACCCTAGAGACTATGGTCCAAACAAAAAACAAAAAACTTTTCCAAGTTTGAGAGTAGGATAACAAGTGATTCACACTCATTACAGCCAACATGAAGGCGGATGAAGTTAAGAAAGGTAGGCAATACCTCAAAGATTGCTTTCCGAGGTGAGTTTGAAGCAGTATGAGGTGCTAGTTTTCCATGAATGTTTCCAATAACCTTGTGCCACAGTCTATCTCCTTCTAAGGGAAATCTCCAAAGCCACTTTCCTAGAAGAAGTCCCCTTGCTCCTTAGGTTTACACTCAATTCGCATTTCACCAAATGATCTTTCTTTTCATCTCTTGGCTCCCACAAGAGGTCCCCCATAAATTTTTCTAGTTGTTAAGCTATTTTTGTCAAGATCCTAACGGTGGACAGGTAGTAAGTGGGAACATTGGCTAGGGTGGATTTGATCAAAGTGATTCTTTTTCCCATAGAGATATAGCTTATCTTCCGCAAGGTTAACTTTTTAGCAAATCTTTCCACTATTGGTTTCCAAAAGCTATCTACTCTCAGGTTTCTTCCCAAAGGCATAGCAAGTTACTCTAGGAGCCACACAACTTTTCTCCCCAATTGACTTTTAGACTTGATATCCTTTGGAAGTGATCAACTTCAAGTTCCTTAAGCTGAGTTCTATACAGTCCTCACAATAGATTATTATGTCATTTGCAAATTGCAAGTGAGTCACAACAACCTCATTTCTACCAATCCTCCAACCTCTAAAACTAGTTTTCGACATCAGCCTTAATGATCAACCTACTCAATACCTCAGGAATAAGGGTGAACAAGGGGACATAGGGTCTACTTGACTTAGACCCCTTTAAGCGAGGGAAAAAAATCCTTAGCCACTCCATTGTTCAATATTGAGAGATGTGCCAAGCTCATACAGCCTTTGATCCACTTTCTCCCATGCCAATTTTTTCCATCAAACTCAAGAGGAAAGTCCAATCCACCATATCATAGGCTTTCTCCAAATCCAACTTACAAATTAGACCTTCCCCTCCCTGGTCTTTCTCCAAATCCCACAAAGGCATCATGAATTTGCCAATGAGTGAGAATTTTCTGTTAGAGATCATGTTTTTTAATATTCCATTTGCCATTGAGTGAGAATTTTCTGTTACCATCTCCCTCCAAAAGTAGGGATGGCAATTTCTACCCTACCTAGTGGGTACTTGCCCTGGTGGGGCAGGTTTTTTACTTGAAGAACGAGTTTTGGGGCGAGGATGGGTTTTGGGATTCTATGAGTAGGGTATGGTATTAGGCTAAACCCAACCCACATATTGTTGGAAAGCATATAAACTTTATGTTAGGTGTTGAATTTAATAATATTTTGAATTTTATGTGAAGGATAATTGATGGTTTATGTGTTTTTTTACATGTTTTAATCAAATAATTGGACATTTTGTTGTTTGTTTGTGTTATCCTATTTATTTATTGTTTATATATAACAAGAAATAATAGGAAATTAGATGTGGGTTCCAAACCCAACCCGACATACCCTTGTATGCAGGGAGGGACTTGCATTTTCATGTGTGGGGAAGGGGGTATGAATTCTCAAAATCCAACACGCTACGGGTTTTGGGCGGGTATAGTTTTTAAAAGCGCAAGGTGCAAAAAACGCGCAAGGGCTGATTTGCGCTTGAGGCACTAGGCACAAGGCAAAGCACGGGCCTTTTTGAAGCAAGGTGCAAAAATACAAAAAAAAGCTAAAAAATCAAAAACTTCAAAAAATGCTAAAAATAAAAAAAAAATATTTAACATAATATTAATAAAAAATATAAACTTAAATTTTAAAATAAATGTTTTAAAAAACCTATTATCTAAATTAAAATACATAAACATAACATGTAAAGAGTATACAAATGAAATTTTTAAAATAAAATCAAACATATAAATCATTTTCAAGCATGTAAAACCCACAATCTCTTTTTTTCCTCAATTGCATTACATCAAGTACCTAATGTGATGTAAAACATATTGCACTCCTGATTCTACGAGCCACTTCTATGCCATGCCCCTCAAGGCAAGCCCAAACAGGTCCATGCTATGGTTTTAAATTCTTAGTTCTCACACAAAAAATAATGTTTTTATAATTTTAATTGCTTTTTAGGAAGATATTTTATTAGGATCAGTTAATGAACATTAGCAAATAGAGGATTCTGGAAGCTTTGATGAGCGAGCAAAGCAAGCGAAAAAAGCATGAAATTTTCAAAAGGCGCATGCCTAGGTGTGCCTTTTAAATCACTAGGTACAAGTTTTTTTTACCAGAAAATTTTTCATTAATAACAGAGAGATTAAGATACAATAGCTAAAGATTGCATAGGAAATTGCAATCTCCAGAAATCAGTTACAATTCTGCCCAATAGCTAAAGATTGCTAGGGTATCCGCCATCCCATTTGCATCCCTTCTAACCCAACCAAACTGAGTATTGAACTTCCTTGCAAGTGTGTCAATTTCTCTGAAAATAAACTTGAGCTTCCAAGGTGCTGATGTGATGTTTTTGGCCCAAGAGATGACCAATAGAGAGTCTCCTTCAATTTCTAAGTCTGTTGTTCCTATCTGTTCAGCCATCTTTAGACCTTGAAGTAGGGCTAGAGATTCAGCATGTATTGAATCACTAGGTACAAGTTGGGAGGTTTAGGGAGGCAGATAGGGTCTAGAATTTACAAAACCCTCCCCGGTGCCATCCCTATCCAAAATCTGCTATCACGATCTCCATCACCAAGAAATTTCCTCCTTTCTTAAGATCTCCTCAAAATCCACTTTTAGACTCCACCTTTCTGATCTTTCCTCCAAACTAATCTCTCTTTGGTCTTCCTTTTTGTCAAGCTCCTTAATCCTTTTAGCAAGTCCCTCCTTTCTTTCTTCTAGCCTCCCAAACTCTTATTTATTCTAACCCTTAATTTTTTTTCTTTTAAACACAAAAGGACAATGATTATAAGGTGACCCTAGGGAGTGCTTTCACCACTAGGTGTCCCCATAACTCTTCCCACTCAATGGAAAAAGGAACATGTTCAATTTTGAGCATACTTGATTTTCCAAGAAGTTAGAACAAGTGAAGGAAGCTTGCATAAAGGGGGGTACTTTTAGCTCTAAGGAGTCAACCAAGGTACTAAACTTCCTCATACTTAGTACTTCCTCATACTCATGGTTATAGTCTAGTTTCGGTTATAGTTTTCAAGGCGCCAAGGCAAGGCTAGGCGACAGGGGGGGCACCTTGTTTGCCTAGGAGATGGATTTTTTTATGTAAAAAACATAGATCCTAGGGTAGTTCCCTAGGTACCATAATCATATTTCCTTAATAATTATTCATAATTTTCAAAAGAAAAGTACAAAGTTCATGTTGAGGTATAGAAAATCAACATGTTCATGAGAAGAAAAAGAAGAAAAGAAAATTGAAAAAAATAGGGGATGAACCCTTATTTTTGTTATAGGAAAAGAAGAAAAGAAAAAGTAGAACGTATGGAAGATATGAAAGAAAAGGTAGAAGAAGAAGATATGGAAGAAGAAAATGTGTTGATTAGACCTGTTGGCTCAGGTTTCT